CTTTTACCACGTCACACGTACTTAAGAATTTTCAATAGGCGAGAGAATTTTTAATATGATGGTCGCATTTCAAATTATTTGATGTTATTAATTTATTTATATGTATCGATTAATTAGTCGGACGCTCGTTGGAAGTTGTATTCGTATCCAAGTACAATAAGGTATTGTTTTTTAATGAGAGCATGATTATCTAGTTGTTCAGGTTATCCTCCATAAAAAATAATTGTAAAAAATAATTGTAAAACACATACACTTTCTTCATATCTCTAGCATAAAAAGCTAAAAACAAAATTTTAAATGAAATATTTATCAAACATTCTGTTAATTTTTTTTCCCATACTCTTATTAAAAAAATTCACACCACTTTAACATAGATTGTTGTCATATTATTTATATTTAGGCTCGTTTGAAATAGCAATTGTGAGGGTATGATTGTCGTTGATTGTGAGTTGCTTCCTACTTCAACCCTTGGGGGTTTGCCTCTTGTCTCTTCCACTAAACTATTTGCCTTGCCTTAATAAAATAATATCTTAATATTTAAACAAATACCATTCTCTTGGAGCCATATGTGTACACACACAGATTTTGTATCGTTGCAAGAAGTTTCTTATATGATTTCGACAGAAGTTGCAGCTATTGGATTGGTGGAAGCACAATAGACATTGAAATTATTCGTCAAAATTTAGAGAGACAAGTTTTTCAATCTACATCTTTTCACTTATCGGGTGTTACAATTTTACCAAAAAAAACCTCGGTGTAATTAAAAATAAATCACTTAATACACATCATATTAAATTTTGTAAATTTTCTGACCGAGATGTTTAATATCTTCAACAATATATGTTTTTTTTTTTTTTTTTTTTTTTTAAAGACATAAAAATGAAGAAGTTGGTGGACAAGAAAAGTGAAAGGAAGGTGGGAAGGAAAGACTGCTTTTCTTGTGCCTTAACTCTTTGAGACGTACTTGAGCAAGGTAAGCTTTTTTAGGTCAAGACAAATACCAAAGTATCACTCAATGAAATATTCAATCGCAACAAATCTTATGGCAATATTTAATTTTTTTTTTTTTTGTCACAGTGGTTCTCACCTGCCATTAAGAAAACTTTGTGACAAATTACCAAACACCTTTCGGTTAACCTTAGTAATTTATGTTAATTCAAACGAAAAGATTGTGAAGCGCAATTATGTTTGTATTCGAGACTATGCATTTGATTTGACACAAGCATATTCGTTTTCACGATGTTAATAATTACGGACCGAGTTAAACTCGGGATCTACTCACATAGTGGGTGAGTGGATATCAACCTAATGAGGTTAATCTTGATAAGGATTTAGGATTATCTTGAAGAGGGGTATGAATGTAGCCATAAGTACTAAATGGAGAGTGATTAGGCACTAATAAGATTCTAAGTTATTGTGAAAAAGGTGATGAGCACATGAAACACATTCGTGGAATATCATAATGAAATAACTACTATGTGAGATGACTAATTATTTAGTAAAGATGGAACAAATAATCATAAATTGAAGATTAGGAGAACACTTTATTATGCAACAATTAGCGAGATTCATCACTAGTCATAAAATACATGCAATATTGTGCACTACCAATTCAGCTCTCGGTCTTGCAAATCATTTATTCGATAAGTTACTATCACCGTTAGAGTATTGCAACAAAATATTAAGTATGACATGATCAGCCAACTGGTCAGGTCACTCTAAAAAGGGTGAGATGAGTGTTTTTAAGTTATACATATATGGAGTGGATGATATTCAGTTTGCGATAGTACTTTATTCTGTTTCGAGAGTGCTTAATTGTTAAACTGATTAGTCTATCTTACCAAAGTTTTTCTCATTGATTGGAAACTAGGTTTAAGAAGAAAATTTATAAATCAAAATTCAAAAATAAAATGAGGGGAGATTGCAAATGTGCCTATTGTTGATAGATGTGGGGGAAGTCGTTAGATTTTCTAGGTTATGTGATGAGACATTGACACTGTGATTAGAGCAGGAGAGACAGTTTACCAAACTCCCCAAAAATCAATGACGTTCACTGTTTGGACGTCCTCGTCAGAGGGTCATCAGTTGTTCTTAGGCCATCTCTAACCAAAAGGTCTAGATGGCCAGAGGGCCAAAAATAGCTCGCAAACCGTCTCCAACCGAGGGCTAGGTCAAATGGCTCGTGGGCCTCACGCGACAAAAAAGGGCCAACTAGTTGGCCCAACCCAACCAGCCAGCTAGCCTTGGGCCAGGTTGGATTTTGAATTCAACGGTTACTAGCTGACGTCAGCCAGTCATTACATTTGATTTTTTATTTTATTTTTACAGTTTTTTATTTTGTTATTTTTTTTTACAATTTTTTTTTAAAATTTCATTTTTTTTAAATCTATTTTTTCCTATAACTTCCTAAGTCATTAAATAACATAAAGTCACATGAAACAACATTAAACAAAAAAAAAAAAATTAACAACCTCAAACTTAAACAACATTAAGTTGCATGTTGACGTCAGTTACCGTTGGATTTGATTTTTATTTTTGGCCAAATTTTTTAAAAAAATATTAAAAAATTCTCATTTTCCTAAATTTAAGTTCTTGTATTTTTTAAATTTAAGATGTAGTTTTTCAATTTAAGTTGTTGTAATTTTTAAATTTAAGTTGTTGTAATTTTTAAATTTAAATAATAAATTATGTTTGGCCTTATGACCTTTTGGCCCTCGGTTGAATATGGTTTTTTGTCATTGGGCTATGTTTGGCCTTATGGCCCTTGGTTGGAGATGGTAAGAAATATGACCCTGCATTGTTCATTACAATATTAAATTTTTAAAGGGCTAGAGGCCATCTCCAACCAAAGGAGTGCCAGATGGCTCATTTTAGCCTTCTGGCCCTCCAAGAAATTAATCTTTTAATCAATAGTGCATGACCATATTTCTTACCATCACAAACAGAAGGCTAGAGAGTCATAAGGTCAAACATAATTTTTATGTTGTTTAATGGCTTAGGAAGTTATAGGAAAAAAAAAAAGAATTTTTAATTTTTTTTTAAAATTTTGTAAAAAAAAAAAAAACAAATATAACGGCTAATTGACATCAGCTAGCCGTTGCATTCAAATTTGTAGCCGGTTTGGGCCAGCCGGTTGATCCTTGGTCATTTTTTGTCCCGTAGGGCCCACGAGCAATTTGACTTAGCTCTCGTTTGAAGATGATTTTCGATCTATTTTCGATCCTCTGAGCTTCTGAATTATTCGATTGAAGATGACTTTACCCTATGCACAGCAACCTCAAGCCCGTACGAGAAAACGTGTCGGCCCTAGGTTTTATGGACCACCTGGGAATACACGCCATCGCCAGAGAATCCCGTTCGTACAGCTGTAGAAAAAGCAGCAGCGGAGGGAGGTGGTGGGGTCCACCTAGGAATACAGTCATGAAATTGGATTTGGCGCTGGCGGCTGAAGTCACAGCAGGACCCTTTCACGCGCGCCTGTTCGTGGTCCCCACCTTCCCCATTTGCCTACGCCCTATTGGCCGAAAGAGAAAAGGCATCCTCTTCGTCGTTTTCTACTTTGTCTTACAACTACGGGGCCCACTTTGGTGATGATCCAAATTCTCTACTGTAGTCTGTATGCACCATAGTGGAATTTGTTGAATTGAGTTGTGTTAACGACGGTGGCCGCGTATTAAATGGTTGGCCCCTATTGCAATCAAAGCTTGAGGCTTTGATAATGCTACTTGATCACATGATATGTTTGACTAACTTCACAATTCAGTGCGACTCTCTAACTCTTTGTACTTTGGTTTCATTTCAGTGCTGGTTTTGCCTTATGCAATAGCTCAACTAAAAATTCTATCACGTGAAAGAGTTGGATGCTATTTCCACTTAAGGGTAAAATACACTCTCTTAATTTCCCGAGCACAAGTTTAGGTCCACCCTCGATGGAACGAATTTTGGTCGTTTAGTAATTTCGAGAATGAGAAATTGCTACGAATTTTGCGTTCAAGGTCTTGAAATTTTGGTTGTTTCCAAACCTAGTGAAGGGGGAAAGGTCATATCATCTTTTCTTGTATCATGTAACTTTTCTTTGAGGGGGGAAGAAAAGAACGAGAGAATCCCGCCCATGCTACAAGGTGTCCTTCCTATTAAGACAAAAGAAGTCAGTAGAGACTTGGAGATGGATGCATCTAATCCCTAATTAGTTAAATCACTTGGCCCACCCAATCCAGACCGTACGATTCATTGTCTTGGATCATGTCCCAGCAATTCATCCAAATTGTTCTGCCAAGTAGCAAACTGATCTGTCTTTGAACAGCCAATCCCAACTCACATGATTCCCCTCACTCTATTTGCAGTAATGGGCCTAGTCGAGGCCCAAAAAAAGATCCAATTCCAACTTCAATTCTTAGAGTTCGACTGCTACTGTTCAGGCTTCAGAGTTCAGAGTTCAGACCAACCTTATTGTCACACTCGTCTTTCTTATCCACTACAGAGCTGTTCTTGAATTGCTTTTAAAATGACTAAAAGCGTTTTTGATGAAAATATTTTTGGAACCTCGCTTTTGAATTGAATAAATTAAAAGAGAACTAAATGATGTTAACAAGGTGAGTAGTGCAAATAGAAAAAGGGAGTGTAAAAATCACTACCCGGTTGGGTAGGATTTCACGCACACAATAACCAGTATGAAGTTATTATCATATGAACTCAGCCAGTCTAAAACAGAAGCAATCCATAACCAGCCAAAGATAACTTCATATTTGCACATCAAACTTTGAGATTGTGCATCAAAATGTAAACAGTCATGTTATAAAACATGGCACTGCGTATTGGCTGACACGACAATGCTTCTTATCAGCAATGTTCTTTATGTTCTGTTGCGTGACTAGGGATGCAGTGGTATCTCAAATTAATCACGCATTGTCACAGTGAAATGTGAAGATACACAACAATGCCCAATTGGCTCGCAATAGTGCCAATTCGTTGTAGGTAAACTTAGAATGCTCGCAACAAAATGCACGAAGCATGCTAAACAACTTAAGAAGCTGTATGTTCTCATTACAAAATCTTCGCAAACACAAGATTTAGATACAATTATAAAAAAATATTGAATCAGTGAACTGAACAATACTAACAGTTACATATATTATATGCAAATGCAATGTACATAAATGATCAAGGAAGGCTAGGAGAAAGGGAAGGTTTTGCCACCTTGAGCTCACCGCAATCACTGATATAAATGGTTTTGAGAGGCTTATTCCACAGAGCCCGAGCATTCCCAGCTCTCTCGTCCCCCAAAAACTCTGCAAAATCATTGAATTGCTGTATCTTCTCCGAGGGCCTGAACGTTGGTATGGCAGCTATGGCCGTCACAACATCCATACCTAAACAAACAGAGCAGCCAAAATTAATCAAACTTCAAAATTCGGAACAAACTAGGGAACGAAAATGAAATGGGAAATGTAGTCCGCAATTCCGTTTTCTGCTAATGAAGTTCTTCACTAATATATGTGATACATACAGGGTCTGTTTCGGATTGCTTCTTCAGCAAGCATTTTTTGTTTATAAGCGCTTCTGCTAGAATTGCTTTTATCATAGACACATTGATTTTTATTAAACTACAAGTGCTTATTGGGAAGTGGTATCCCAGAAGTACTTCCTGAAGTAACTGACTCTCGAGAAAGTGCTAAATCAGAAGCACTTTGGTGGTCTGAAAGCACAAAACTAAAGGAATGCAGAGGAGAAAATGGAGTGCGGAAATTAAATACGCCGAAAAAACGTTCGAACCTTCGAGCACCGAGCCGAAGACGATGTTCTTGTAATCGAGGTCGGGGCAGGGTCCGGGTCCGGTGGTGATCAAGAATTCGACATTTCGGTATTCCGGGTCCAGCTTGATGTCGTCCTCGTCGTCGTTCTCGGAGAGGTTGAGGGAGAGGAGGCCGGGGCGGGAGTGGGTGAGAGCGAAGGATTTTGAATCGACGGTCTCGGTGTTCCGGGCAAGGCCGGAGGGTCGGCGGACGTCTCCGGGCTTGTCGCCCTGATGGCCGGCGAGGAAGAATTGGCCCGGGAAAAGCTTGTGGACGAGAGTGCCCTTGTAGGCGGAGGAGGTGCACATGGACTTGAAATTGGCGACGGTGAGGGGGACGAGGTGGCCATAGAGGCCGAGGACGAGCCGGCCGAGTGGGATGGAGTCGGGGCAGAGATTGGGTTTCGGGTCGGGCGAGGACAATGGGCGGAAGTAGGTGGGGCAGAGGCTGAAGTCCATGAAGACGCGGTCGGTGATGGTGGTGTCGGGCGGCGGGGGAGGAGGGGGAGAGGCGGAGGAGGGTGGGGGTTTGAGGGTTAAGGAGAGAGGGGTAGAGAGGAGGAGGGAGCGTCGGGTCAGGTGGGTAATGGGGTTCGGGTTTTGGCGGTGGTGGCGGGAGAGAAGAGGTGGTGGACCTAGTGGTGGAGTTACGGAGCAGCCCATTAGGTCGGTTGGGTTGGATTGAGATGTCTTTTTTCTTCTTTTTTTTAATCTGATTTGGGGCTTTGGAGGTAACCGAGAGATAGCCACGGAGGGGATGGTGGGCCTTACTTTTGGATAATTAATTATTTATATTTATTTCATAGTAACTCGCCGTTAACTCAGTGAATTTTTTTTATACCATTATTTCGAAAATATAAGTTCATAAACTATAATATACGGTCAATTTCAATTAAATTTTTATACCATTATTTCATAAACTATAATATCCGGTCAATTTCATCTTTACTATAAGATGCAAAACTACTATGTGAAATTTTCTTTTCATTTAATTCACAGTGTAACCCTGACAATTGTTTCACGACCCTTAATCAAATCCGAATAACATGAAATAACATATTTCATGTCAAATTTTTCAACGAGTCAGGTCATTGTTGGATTATCCGTTAGGAATACTGTTAATAAATCGGATCATTAATGGATCACCATTAAGAGCTTGTTAAAATAATAGGTATGACATGTAAACGACACAAACACAACCTGTTTGCCAGGTCTAGACATTAAGCATGACAATTTCTTGTATGACCTATTAACTCGATACAAAATGATGTGATCTGTTAATAACGATTTGAATCGATATCGGGTCACTTGTTGAGAACCAGTTAAATAATAAATTGGACACGATTCAATTCGTTAAAATAATAGATATCTAAGTGTGCAAATCACTTGACTTAAAACAAGGAACGATTGCTTTGATTTTCACAGAAGGGGGAGATTGACAATTTTTAATAGTTTAGACTTTAATTTTATTTGTGTAATAATAAGAAATAAATCAACACTTAACTCCAAAAGGCCATACCATAATGGAGGGATTTGGAAAGTTTCGGCATGAAGTGTTTGTGGGGAAAGACTGATATTTAGGGTTTAAAAAACAGCTTCGGTTTTCTTGTTTGGCAAAGTCACTATGATTGAAAACAAACTTTATTTTTCGCTCTTTGACTGTCGAAAAGATTTGAGGTTTGGGTGTTGAAATTTGTAATTTGAATCCATTTTCATAAGTTTGAGATTGGATTGTGTGACATTTATTGATCGATTGAGTTACGTTTAGATGTTGGAAATTTGAAGATTTTCCAGGTTTGGTGGCAACTACCGAAATTCTTGCTTTTTTCGATTTGCAGATCGATTAAAAAAAAGAGGATGACAAATGAAATCATAGATTGGAAATCTGAGGCAAATCCTGTGTAGGGTTCATGAGTACATTAACTGTCATTGTTCCTTGATATCCTTTGCTAATTCCTCATTGTTCTTTGTTTTCATCGTTGTTTTAAACGCATAAGCAACTACCTTCAACTAGAAACTACGAAGAATCCACTTCAGATGTTTAGTGCAGCCTTCTTATGTTTAACTTAAGGTTTGTGATATGTGAGTCCGATATTCATGTATCTTGCTTATGTGTTTGCCTATTGTATCACATATTGGTATGAATCCAAACTAAAATATCTTGTGCATGACCAAGGAAAGTTTCAAAGAAATAAGCACTTACCAAAAAAAGCCAAAAGGTTGCCTTTGTCAGGTGAGCTTTAAGCTGGCAGATGACGTTTTGCAGCTCCAGTCTGTCGCCCCTGCCTATCTGTCGTTAGTTGCTCAACTGTCAGACCTTACTTAGCGCTGAACTAAATGTATAATTATTTGTCTGAGTGATGCACCAAATGTATGATTATTTTTTTGAGTGATGAACAAATGTTTCATGCACTTGGTGACACAGAACTGCCGAATGCAGATTAGAGGAGGATATGAATCGAGCAGACAGGAAGCTCATTTGATCAATGTGTGAATCCCGTGAAACAAGTCCCGTGGTGTGGAAAATTTATTTCTTTCTTCTTTTATCTTTGTTGATGATAGTTCAAATAGGTACTGAAACATTCATCTTATCGCTCCCACTCTGGCATAGAAATGACGAAGAATAAGCTTAGCTTCCATGGCTCCTCAAGAGAAGAGTTTTTTAGTATCAAGACGGGTGTGTTTGTTATTTCCTGTCATAAATCCTTTATAATCTGTTTGTTTTGAAATTATGACTTACCAACTTGGAGTAGAGTCTGTAGACTTTAGCTGTAAAGATGCAGCTAGTAATATATGCTACGATTTACGCCAACATGCATCATCTATGTGTCCAATCCGTTCGTGTACGTGGAAAACGTGATTTGAGAAACATATGAACCCCATCATTCCCTGGAATTATCCTTCTGCCTCTGTCAGCGTAGGAGTTGAACCTTGAACCTCAGGCCTGACCGAACTATAGTGCAAACAGAGATTTTAATAGTTGAAACAGAAGAGACTGGTTTCCTTGGTCAATATGATGAACAGTTTGGAAGGGAGACATAAAAGTATTCAGACTTAGGTTAAAGAAATAGTTAATATATTCAAGATAATTACGTATTTACAAAATACCGTCTCAATTCATCATATTTCATCAGATCCGGGATATGATATGGTTCCGAAGGATGAATTGGATATGGACAGTTCCAATAAGATTTCATTCTTGAACAAAAATCCATTTTTTGATTTATTTCATCTATTCCATGACCGGAACAGGGGGATACACGTTACACCACGATTTTGAATCAGAAGAGAGATTTCAAGAAATGGCAGATCTATTCACTCTATCAATAACCGAGCCGGATCTGGTGTATCATAAGGGATTTGCCTTTTCTATTGGATTGGATCAAAAACAATTCTTGAATGAGGTATTCAACTCCAGGGATGAATCGAAAAAGAAATCTTTATTGGTTCTACCTCCTATTTTTTATGAAGAGAATGAATCTTTTTATCGAAGGATCAGAAAAAAATGGGTCCGGAGTATATATGGAGAAGTAGTATCCTTCTTGTGCAATTTGTGGTGTAAAAGAAAGTCTGCACACGATGTTTACAAGAAAGAAAAATGGGGGGAAGTTGGGAGGGTTCTAGGAGAGCTGTATGTCTAGATATAGAGCGAAACAAATAAACGAAAGATTTACTTCTCATCTGCTCACCTTTTCCTTTTGCTTGCTGTGTCAAGCTCTCTGAATCTTGTCCGTGACATGATACAGCGCGTTCAGGTCTTTTTTGTCCCATACTGATGAGCCACCGAGAAGAACGAGACTGTTTCTTGGGGAATGAAATATTCGTTTTCTGAGGGCAAGAGCAAATATCCTTCAAGTTGTGAAGTGCGCAGCTGCAATTGCGGTGGTATGGCCTGTGTTCAATCTCCATGTCCTGCATTAATATACTTACTTCAATGACGCATTGAAGCATCACCGCTGCAATCCCAAGGATCATCTGTCCTACCTCTCTTCTCTCCTAAGCTTTAATTTCTTAAGTGAAAATGCAAGTGTGAGTGTGTATCTACCAATGAAGTTTGTGAAAAGGTGTGCTTCCTTTTTTTACGTGTGTATGTCTTTGAAGTGCTTCTCTTACATATTTATGCAGAGCGCGGAGGGTTGTTTCTTCACGGAAGTAGTGGAGTAACCAAGAGTAGAATTTTTGTTAGTTCTGTTACCTCGTTGAACTCAAGAGAAGTTTAGCAATGGTGGTGGTTCTTGGGAAATCATTATTTGTTTTCTGCTTTTGTTTTTGATGTGGCCTTGTCAAAGTAGTTATTCAACAAGACAACTGTTTTTTCTCGAAAATATCAGCTTCTCAAACACACGCTTGGAGAGAGAGAGAGAGAGAGAGAGAGAGAGAGAGAGAGAGAGGGAGGGAGGGAGAGTTTAGACAAAACAAGTGATCGTTGTAAATGTGGGACTTTAACATAGTTTTCTCCATAATAGCGTCTGTAAACTAATCTCGTCAACAATCCTGTTGTTATGAGTGTACGACGTCTCCGTTTTAGCATGGTGTCGCAATCCTCTCTCTGTGTACCTTTTAACTTGATATCAACAATTATGGATCTCAATGGCTCTATTACACATTTCTGTTGAAATTTTTTACATTGACCGGTCCGGGGCTCATTCTAACGACACCGATACTGTCCCTAATTTTACCATCTACCTAATTCGTCAGGGATTACCTAAGCGGCTTCGGTATTAGTTAGAGTAGGGTAATCATATTTAAAGCCACCCTTGTTGACTTCCCCCATCGATAAGGGACTGCTAACACATACCCTCACGTGTAAGTTGTAATCCCATTTAGTGGTTCACACGTGGAAATCCATACATGGGCAATTGAAACTTAGAGGTCGGCTCCAATGAAGTCCAAACTTGTTTTCAATCTTTCCAGGAAGTGACTCTTAAGAACTCAGAGACCGGCTCTATGTTAAGAGTCCAAGCTTGTTTCCAAGCCCACATTTCCTTATGACAAACCTTTGGCTTGCACGGGCCCGTAACCGTGGACTCTAATACCATGTTGAAATTTTTTTTATATCGACGAGCCCCAGGGGCCCAAACTTGTTTTCAATCTTTTCAGGAAGTGACTCTTAAGAACTCAGAGGCCGGCTCTATGTTAAGAGTCCAAGCTTGTTTCCAAGCCCACATTTTCTTGTGACAAGCCTTTGGCTTGCACGGGCCCGTAACCGTGGACTCTAATATCATGTTGAAATTTTTTTTAGATCGACGAGCCCTGGAGGCCCCACTTTAACGACACCGATACTGTTCCTAACTTTACCACTTGCCCAATCTGTTAGGTGTGAGGTTTTACCACAAAAAGCCTCGGTATTAGTTAGAGTAGGGTAATCATATTTAAAGCCACTCTTGTTGACTTCCCCCACCAATGTGGAACTGCTAACCATTTCTTTCCATTATCGGTGAGTTCTCATTACTTAGAAATAACTAAAAACCACTATCATTGTAAACACTAGCTGATTCAATCCGGCGGTTTTCCCGCTTCACTTATTTTCCTGCTTCAATCCGTTTCATGATCATTTCATTTCTGTATATGGCGGCCCTGTAATCTTGAATATTGACTGCCTGCTTCCATTTGATAAACAATAGTCTGATACGAACTTGTTGCTTTGTGCGATGAATTTGAAAATTCCTGACTTTATC